GTGTCTCTGTGTGTGTGTCTGTGTGTCTGTGCGTCTGTGTGTCTGTGTGTGTGTGTCTGTGTGTCTGTGTGTGTCTGTGTGTGTGTGTGTCTGTGTGTGTGTCTGTGTGTGTGTGTCTCTGTGTGTCTCTGTGTGTCTGTGTGTGTCTCTGTGTGTCTCTGTGTGTCTCTGTGTGTCTCTGTGTGTCTCTGTGTGTCTCTGTGTGTCTCTGTGTGTCTGTGTGTCTGTGTGTCTGTGTGTCTGTGTGTCTGTGTGTCTGTGTGTGTGTGTCTGTGTGTCTGTGTGTCTGTGTGTGTCTGTGTGTGTCTGTGTGTCTCTGTGTGTCTCTGTGTGTCTCTGTGTGTCTCTGTGTGTCTCTGTGTGTGTCTCTGTGTGTGTGTCTCTGTGTGTGTGTCTCTGTGTGTCTCTGTGTGTGTGTGTGTCTCTGTGTCTCTGTGTCTCTGTGTCTCTGTGTCTCTGTGTCTCTGTGTCTCTGTGTGTGTGTGTTTGTGTTTGTGTTTGTGTTTTTTTGCTCACACACCTTTTTGTGTCTGCAAAGGTTCGTGCCAGCCTTCGACATATTGTCGGTTCCTTATCAGGAATCTCTTGGGCTGATCCACTTGCTATTGAGTTCACTCTGGCTTCTCGGTGATTTGCAGTGCCATCCATTAGTCAGCTGCAGGAGAAATGAAAAATGCAAGGAGAAATGTCATTCAAAAGCTGGTGCAGGGCAACTTGCTGGATGGTGCATTCACGGAATCACAGGTTCAGTCTGTGGCAGGCTCTCGGAAAAGTGCCAAGAGCTGGGACACGTCTTCTGGCTTTTCAATGTACTCTGCATTTGGGAGCGGTTGGTGCAATATCTTCGGTAAATAGAGGCAATGTGTCCTGACAAACCATGCCACAGTGAGGTTTTGGCATAGATGAGTCGGCAAGCGCCAACACGCATGAGGCTGAACATTATCCTGAGTGATCAGCCATTGCACTGGTTTTGCATTGCTCTCAAGTGCAGGGTGCATCTTCAGAAAAGCCTGATAGTGACCTGCTGCATCAATTCCCAGGTGTGCGGCCGCCGCCACAAATGTGTAAGAAATCTGTGCACATTGCAGCAAATCGTCACAGTAAACTGGGAAGCGTGTTTCTGATTCCAGGTTGAATGCACAACTGCTTTTCTCAATCTGGCCGTTCAGGGCCTCAAACATTCTGTCCACCTGTACGCACAGGATCGGCGCGGCTTGGAGTAGAGCAGCATGCATACCTTCTGCCTGGTGCCAAACATGGATCAATTGCTGAAAAGTGCAGGTTTCAAGCAGCGCAAGTTCAGGTGTGAATTGCAAGATCAAAGGCATGGTGGCATGTCCAGTGTCATGGCATTGCACTCGGTCCTCTATTTCGAGTCGCCTCTCCCAGCACATGTTCACGGCTGGAGCTTCAAGCCATGCCAAGGTTGCATGGACAACTCTCCACAATCCTGCTGGGCTTGTGGCATTCCCCAGCATTCAAGTAACTGCACAAACCAAGGCAACATCTTAAGCAAAATGATTTCAGGTTGGTTTTCAGAGAGAAAACTGTGCAGTGACTCGGAATGCGGTCCCCATGAAGAGAGATCATTGCCTTGCTGGCATAGCAAGGTCCACATCAGGCAATAGACCATGGCGTTGGCAAAACACCAAGTGGAGTCGTTGCCTAGTTGGAGCGTGGAGAGGTGCAGGCAGAGTTGTTGCCGGGCCTCCAGGCTCAGGTGTCGGGCACTTTGTTCTTCCCTTTGGACTTCCCCGAGCCCTTTCCTCGTCCCCGCCCCTTGGGCAAGAGGCTCTCGACCGTCTTTGCCAGTCTACTTTGTTGTGGTGTGTGAATCTTCAGGGACATTCCCGCCACCATCCACACCGAGGAGTGCGTCATGGCCACCAGCAGGTCGTAGGGCCTGTTGTAGCGCAAGTTCAGCTGGAGTTTCCATGGAACTGCCGTCTGCGGGCTGCTTGCTGCCAGCCCCTGGAATCGCACCACAAGGGCCGGGTCCCGAAATTCCTCCACCAGCTCCGTCAGATGCTCCAACATCTTCGGCATCGTGATGGCCTTCTTCTTGTCTATCACCAGCAGCTTCTTGGCCGTGTCCCAGCGCAGGAAAGGCCAGCTCATGTCCTCCAGGATGAGATTCTTCTCCCGGCAAAGGCGGAACAGGGCATCCTCCGGCTTGCTCTGTGATACCTTCGTGACCCGGTTCAAGAGGTCCTGAAGAAGGTGCTGGCACAGGTGTTGGCGCAGGGTGGTTTGTACCATCTCCGGTTCCTGGAGGCGTTTCTGATGCCATTTCTGTGTCTCCACCAGCAAGCTCTGGAGTGAGCCCTCTTTGTCCTGCTGGAAAAACAGGATGAAAGAGTCTGTGCTTTGCAGCAAGCTCAAGCTGTGCTCTTGACGCAGCACTAGATGGCCCAGTGCTTGGAGGTATTGCATCAGTCTCTGTGGGTCTGCCGCGGGTGGACCGTGATCTGGTAGATCTTGTTGGTTCTTGTCGTCGGTGCGACGTTGTTTCGGTGCTTTCGGATTTGGCTGCAGCTTCAGACTTTGGTCCAGCAGCGGTGCCAAAAACTGGAAGGTCTCCCTGATTTGGGCCTGGGAGCTCTGGTCCACTCCATTCATAGCCAAGTCTCCCTCCATGTAGTGGCCAACAAGATGGAGCTTTGCAAAATCACCGGGCAGTTCCCTCTGAGATGGGTTTGGACCAAGACTGCCCGAGGTTCAGAAAGTGCCGGTTGGGTTGCATCAGGCGGCAGGTTGAAAACTTGGCTGCAGAGGTCACATTGAAAATCTGAATGCAGAATCTTGGAGATTGCAGGCACCAGCGTTTCGAAATAAAATTCTACAAAACGGTGTCCACTCAAATGTTCCTCATGGATGTGGCGGCAGAGCATTCCAGCAGGGTGTTCTTGGCCACACTGCATGCAGCAACGTCGCAGGAGCTGAGTCACCTCAGTGCTGGTCCAAAGTCCAAAGGTCACTGAATGCTCGATCTGCAAAAAGCTTGGAAACATTGAAACGTAATTCTCGAGGGATGGAGCAGTGCAACATCTGGCTGATGACCTGGTCAGTGGTCTCTACTGGCATGAAGGGGACACTGTCAAGGCGGTAGTACAGCATAGCAATCTGCCTCAAAGGCAGGCATACATGGTTCTGCCGCAATTGGTGTATTTGGGGATTGCACATGCAGCCATGTCGTGAAAACACAAGGTCAACCAACATCAGCGTCAAGTGTTGTGAGTGCCTCCACAAGCGGCTGTGGTTGTTCATCAGGTGATTGGCAAGGTCACCAGCACGTTGGTATGCCTGCTTGCAATGCAAGCATTTGATCGTGAGGCGTAATCTTTCCATGGGTGCACGTAACTGTTCAAACATTTTGCCGTGAAGACATGTGTTCAGCCAAGCCTGACTGATTGGTACAACTTCGGTGGCAGCATAGGGGTCAAAGTTGCTGCATCTGCTTTGTGTTATATGGCTTCTCAACCCCTCTAAAGAGGAGTACTCTGCGCCGCAGTGGGCGCATTTGGCCTCAGCATTCAAACAATCACGTGCTGCGTTGAAAGAAAAACCTTCCAATTTGTGCTCTGCCCGCAAGTGTGCCAGCAGTTGAGTCACGTCAGAGAAAGGCTGCAGGCAGATGTCGCATCGTGTGGCTACCTCAGGAGGGCCACTTTCTTGCGCATGCAATCCACCACCATGAAGTAATAAGACAGCAACTTGGGTCCAAACAGGACACTGATGGCTCTTGAAGTATCCTCCGCAATGAGGGCATGGCGATTCAGAACTGTGAATGTTTGTAAGCATCTTGGATTTCTGGGGAACAAATTCCCAGAACATGGCATGTTCAGTGCGGAAGTGCAAGTGCACGTCCTGCGTGCGGCTCAAGTGCTGTCCACAAATACAGCAGTATCTGGAGAGGTACCCACATGCCTCATGATCTTTTTCAAGCAAGTCAAGGGTGTCATCTGCAATGAGCTGCAACAGGCGGTTGCCCCAAGGTTTGCTCTTGATCAAACTCAGGTCTGCATCACTCAACATCTGGGTGCCTCTCATCGAGACATCAGCTCGAGATGGGCACATTGCTGTCATGGTCAGGGCAGCAGGGGTGCCAGTGCAAAGGTCAGGTCCAGAAATCAAGGCCTGGCATCCACGTTCGATGTGGTTTCGATAGCTACTCCACGTAGAGTATTGGATGCCACAATGTTTACATTTGGGCAGGCCATCAGTTGTGTAGAAGTGCATGGGGTGTGCAAACTGTCTGTACATAATGTATCCATGGCTGACCGTGCAATGACGTCTAAATGCTGATATTGAGTTGGTGCAAAATTGACACATGTTACAAAAATAACATGGGCTTTGGTCAGGGGCCTCGCCAGAGAGTGCAGTCTCAGCACGTTGCACTGAGGAGGCAGCCTGGGCACGCTGGATCATGTCATGGATGGGTTCAAGATGTGTCCAATCCAACCGCAGTGCAACATCTGTGGCATCAAGGAGTGCATCACGCTGGGCAATAGACCGTTGCAAGGTGGCAACAGCCGCAGACAAAAGGTCAGCCGGGCGCGGGAGTGCAAAAGTCTCAAAAACATAGGTGTTGGTATGTCTGGTTCGGTGAGCATGGTCTCCAACAATGCGTCTAAGCATGGTGCCTAGCTGAGTCAGCATATGTTGAAGGCCTTTTGGGGTTACGCCAACAGCAAAAACACCATATGTCATGATGGGTATGATGCAAGTGCGCCACAAGCTGAGTCTGTGCTGGAGGGAAAAATGATTTTTGTTGCAGAGCCAGCGTCGCAGGCGCAAAAATGCAATATGTGCAAGCTTCACTCTATGCCATGTTGTGGTGTCCTCAAAGCTATGATAGCTCATGATGCATCCCAGGTATGTGGCTTTGTCTTTGATCGGAATCAACACATGTTGCTGAGTGGGGACAGGGATTTTCAGCAAATCGCCTCGATGGTCACGCTTCACGCAGGCCGCTCTGGTCTTTCGACTCTTTGGTCCGTGCAATGCAAGGATGGCCACTGACTTATTTGGGTTCAGGGTCATGTCAAACTCTTGGAGCAATGAAAAAAGAATGCCAATGGCTTGCAGCAAATAATCAAACTCTTGTGCATTTCGGAATGTGCCTCCGATGTGACAATCGTCGGCGTAGATCGACAGGTGTTTTTGGAGCCATTCTAAGGAAATCAGTTGTTGCATCTCTGTCATCATCAATACCATCATGCAATTCCAAAGGAATGGTGCGCCCTTGCATCCTTGTCTGAGTCCTCTGGACACATCAACTGCAGCGCTCTCTCCCCCATGTGAGATGATGTATTGTGTATCCACATGCCAGTTCTGCAACAATTGCGTAATCTTCTCAGATACTCCAAGTTGAGTTTGACTCTATTAATACAATCAACTGCTTTTTCCAAGTCGATAAAAATCTGAATTCCCCCGCAAATGGTCCATCGTTCTGCTGAGACCGCTCTGGAGTGTGGGGTGGAGCGTTGGCTCTGTATCAGTGTCCGGGTGTCTCTGCAATGCATTGCCACTTGAAGCAGTGGGTCTTGTGTCGAGCGGGATCGCATGAAGGCCCAAAGTGGCCATGGTCTGAAGGCTGCATCTGCTTGGGAAACTGCTTTCTGAATTAAAAGGCCCAAAACGGCTTTACCCAGGGGGCATTGCAGAGCTAAGGGTCTCAAATTCTGTGGTCTCGTCGGTGGCTTGGAAGGTTTGGGGATTAGCTGGAGCCATCCCGCACGCCACTGTCGTGGTATCCAGGGTGGGTTTTGCCCCCACCATTTGGTCAATGTGGCATGAAGGACTGGTGCAATGGTCTCTGCTAATGAGTTCCAAACAATTCCAGGGGCACATGGTGCAGCTGTAGCCTTCTGGGACGGAATCAGTCTCAGTGCAGCTGTCAATTCACTCACCGTAAACGGCACTCCTGGGGCTTCATGACAGATCATGGGAGCCAGCGTGGGGCCCCGCCATGTTTCTCTGACATATTCCACAATCAGACTGCGTTCTTCAGAGGAAGTCAGAAGGGACCCATTATCCCGTCTTAATTGAACACGACGTCGGTGTGTTTTGGGGGCAAAACGGTTAATGAGATCAAACAACTTATGGGTGTCATGGCTGGCCGCTGCATTGTTAGCCTGTTGCAAGGTCTCTTCAAAACGCTGGCGGCGTAGTTGCTTGGCAAACCTGCGGTGATGTCTGGTGAGTTTGTGAAATTGGGTGGCATGAAACCAGGCATGCAAAATTCCTTGGGCAGTGCGGTCCCTGATGGCGTGAAGGAGCTGTCTGTGTTGCCATTTAGTCAAAGTATGTTCATTCTTCTGCCATGGATCAGGTGTGACATGTCTGCTCATTGCAGGAAAGCATGTTGAAAAATGTTGCATGGCCGTGTCATGTACATCTTGAAGTTCAAGATTGTCTGAGGTCAGCACATTATGTAGTTGCCACCAAACATCCGGTGCAGAATCATTCAAAAAGCGCTCCCAGTCAGGACTGTGAGAGAGCTGTGCAAGTCGTCCTCTCTGTCGCTGGTTTGGAGTAAGGCCAAACTTTGGCTGATTTGGCGGCGGAATCCAATACCTAGCTAAATGGCAGATCAGTGGCGCGTGTCCATGCCGTTGCACTGGCAGGAAAGGGGCCTGCCACAGACACTGCACGGCTCTTGCCTGTCCAAGCGAGTGCAAACATATGCTGGCAGCCCCATTCTGTGCAAAAGTTGGCCCTTGACTGGCGTCCCATGTGTTAAGGGCTACTAGTCCAAACTGGTGCAGGATGGAGAGGAATCTCCCTCCATCTTCATGTCGTGGGCCCTGTTTGGACCGTCCTTGCCATCTGAAAAATGAAGTGCCACACACGCCTGAGGATTCAGGCAGGCTACAATTCATGTCTCCGTGCATGGCAACAGTATTTCTAGCCGGAAGCTGCTGGAGGGTCTGTTCAAGAGTCTTCCAAAAGCTCTCACGTGGCGGCAAAGATTTCCTGTTACCAGTATAAACATGTTGGTAGCAACCAATGACATCTACATTCCTGGTCGGCAGTAACAGACGGACATGGACAAGGCGTCCCGGAACTGGTTCAGTCCATCGTAGGTCCCTGGCCGCACAAAGACCCTCTGCATGTTGCATCAGCACTATGGAGGTGATGCCAATTAGTATCACTCCATTCTGTCTGGAAGGACCATCTGGTCTCTGTGATCACAGCAATGTGGACATGTTGCAAGGTCATCCAGTATTTCAACTCGTCCAATCTGTGGTTGGAAAGGCCTCCACAGTTCCAAGTGAGACAAGTTAAACGGCGTCTGGGGCCTTGCTTGGCATTGCATCTTTCAAGGTCTTGCAGCCTCGGCGGAGGTGAGTCCTGGGTGATGGGTTGCATCCCAATCTTAATGAAGTCCTGTGGTGTCATGCATTGGCCTCGATACCAAGCCATCCCTTGGTTATGTGCTCTTCTTTGTGCTCGGTGGAGGCTGCGCTTTACAACTCTGGAGTGTCTGCAAGTGGTCAGCGCGGTTTTGGTGCTACCGCACATTTGTGGCTGCGTGCCATGTGGCTTCACGTCTGGGAGTGAAGAGAAAGCGTCTGTCCATTGTGACGTTTCAACATCCCCCATGGCTGGGATGTAACCCTCGCTCCTACCAAACTCATGGTCAACTGTGTCAAAGTGAGAAAACATTGTAATCACGCAAAAACAAGTCAGTTGAAAAACCAGAGTCTGGCGCCTGGAATTGGGACCAGGCATGCCACCAAGTTTTCGGTCAATTCGAGCCCTCTGCAAAGTTACCTTGCTTGTTCTGTGTACTCCACTGGAACAATGTTGTGTCAAAAAATCAGAATGATGCGCTGTGTAGTCCAGAGTGGTCAGCAATCCCCTCAGGGGCCAGAGAAGCCAGCAGGAGGGCGCAAACCAAAATCCACTGTTTGAAGCAGTGAGTCGCTTCCAATGTCTCCTTGTTGTAGCCGCCAAATGATCACCAAAAAACTGTTGAGGAAGTCTACAAAAGAATAAACGGATTGTTGAAATCTGCAGTCGCAAAATTGAGATCACACGTGTAAAATAGGCCAGCCAGATGAAGGGAGCCCACCCCCAGTTCTGCTTGCAGATCAAAAAGATCAGGAAGCACAGCCACTTGAAGCGGTTGCCAGGTATAGATTCCCAATGGTCGATGGTATGGTCGATGGTCTGGTCGTGCACAGCTGCACTAAATGCATTGTCTGGTGCCAAAAAGATCAAATCGGGACAGTCAGAAGGGGTGCCCACCCCGTTTGAAGATTGCTCCACCAGGCCAGTGAAAAAAAGCCAGGAGCCTACCCTGCAGGACGGTGGGCAATCTTCAATTATGGTCAGTTGTGTGTCTGTCTGCACTGTCTGGAATGTTGTTCCAAAATTGTTCGTGTAAGCAGCTGTAACCTCCACCCGGCCAGTGAAAATTCGGGAGCCGACCCCGCAGTTTGATGGAGGATTACAGGTGTAATGGGTCAAGTCCCGCTTCCACTGTGAAGGCGTAGGTACCTGTTGATCCTCGGGCAAAGATTGTTCTGAAGTGTCCAGAGTGTCAAACTGTGAAACAGTGATATAACGTACCTCCACCAGGCCAGTACTCAATAAACAGGAGCCTACCCTGCAGTGCGGTGGGGTTTGATTGCAATTGAAGTGTCTGTATTTGTTGTGGTACAGAAATAAATATTCAATAATCCAACAAATCACCCGGCCAGAAAAATCAGTACAGGAGCCGACCCCGCAGAATGGTGATTGTTGGTGATGCCACTGTCTGATTGAAATTTCCGTCAACGTCAAGTCAGAGGCAAGGTGGTCCAATGGGCTGTTGCACTGTGTCCTCAAAATCAATGAAGAGGATGTGTTCAGGGGCTCCACCCCGCCAGTATGGGAAAAACAGGAGCCTACCCTGCAGTACGGTGGAATATCCCTGTCGACAGTTGTGATGGTGGAGCGCTGCTCCGTCTGTGCAGTCCGTGTGAATTGAGCAATTGCCCAGTTCCGTGGTGTGTCACCCGGAATCCAAAAATCAATAAGTGGGGAATCTTCCGTGAGGCCAGTCAGTTTCTGTGGGGAGCCAACCCCCAAATTCAAATAAGAGAATTCCCAAGGTCCAGTGGTTTGTGTTTGTGAAGCAAAATCAATGTGTAAAAAGTCCTGTGTAAATTGCAAAGCAGCGTCAGGGCCAGTCAGTTGCTGTAGGGAGCCCACCCCAAAATCAATGTGCCAATGTGGAAAGAAAGCCACAACAAGTAGGCTCCAGGATATCAACCACTGTGTCGTGAAGGGAGTCGTGGTTCAGTCCAAGCAGGGATGGCAATCCCAAATCCAAATGAAGTAAATGAAATAGAAACCAAGTCGCAACAGGCAAAAAGAAATCTCCAACTCTATATTGAAAAATGAATGGCGGCGGCGCAACACAATCCGAAATGGCACAGCAAAGTCACAGCGAAAAGGGCAACTCTATGTCTCCGTAGAGATGGTTTGAGGGACACGCTCGTGGTGGCAAAGGAGCTTGTGTGTGTGTGTTGTGTGTGTTGTGTGTGTTGTGTGTGTTGTGTGTGTTGTGTGTGTTGTGTGTGTTGTGTGTGTTGTGTGTGTTGTGTGTGTTGTGTGTGTGGTGTGTGTTGTGTGTGGTGTGTGTGGTGTGTGTGGTGTGTGTGGTGTGTGTGGTGTGTGTGGTGTGTGTGGTGTGTGTGGTGTGTGTTGTGTGTGTGGTGTGTGTGGTGTGTGTGTGTGTGTGTTGTGTGTGTGTGTTGTGTGTGGTGTGTGTGTTGTGTGTGTTGTGTGTGTTGTGTGTGTGTTGTGTGTGTGTTGTGTGTGTTGTGTGTGTGTTGTGTGTGTGTTGTGTGTGTGTGTGTGTTGTGTGTGTTGT